TTTGCATATAGTCGCTCTGACTGGCTGGTGGGCGTGGCTTAAGGCGTAGCGAAGGTACAGTCAATTTGCATGTTTGTCTTTTATTAGTGTAGACAGACTAGAGGCCTGATGCATGAAGATTCGTGCAAGAATGGGCCTTCCTTCCCCTGGCTGCCAGCGCTGCCTTCGCTCCGGCCCGGAGCCGCCTTTCTGCCTTCCCATGCTGCCCAGAGGCCCGGAGCGGCTGGGGCGGTGCTGAACGCCTGCGTCGTCATGGCAATGATGCAAGCATTCTGCCTGGCCCGACCGCTCGGTGCCTGTGTATGCAAATTAACCCACCATCTTTTTGGGTTAATTTGCATACTCACTCCTGATTGGCTGGTGGGCAATGTGGAAAGTACAGTAAATTTGCATCTTTCTCTTTTATTAGTGTAGAGTAGTCATTTTCGACTAAGGCCCATTCTAATGACCTCATCTTTTTAATATATATATTCCATTGATTTCAGAGAGGAAGGGAGAGGGAGAGGTAGAAACATCAGTGATGAGAGAGAATCATTGATCAGCCGCCTCCTGCCCCTGGGGGTCAAGCCTGCAACCCACACATGTGCCCTGACCAGGAATCAAACCATGACCTCTGGTTCATAGGTTGAGGTTCAACCACTGACCTTATCTTAATCTGATCACCTGCAAAGATCTTTTTTCCAAATAAGGTCACATTGTAGGTACTGGGAGTTGGACTTCAACATATTTTTGGAGGAGACAATTCATAACAGATGGTAAATTTGAAAGATAGAATTCTTGGATGACAGTTTTTTTTTCTTTTAGGACTTTAAATACATCATTCCACTGCCTCCATGGTTTCTGATGAGAAATTGGCTGCTAATCTTATTAAGGGTTCCTTGTATGAGATGAGATACTTCTCTCTTGCGACTTTCTCTTAGTCTTTGGACAGTTTGATGATCATGTTTCTCAGTGTGGATCACTTTGAATTTATTCTACTTGGTACTTTTTGGATGTGTAGGTTTGTACCTTTTACCAAATTTGGAAAGTTTTGGCCATTATTTCTTCAAATATTCTTTCAGCCCTTTTTCTCTCTTCTCCTTACGGGACTCTGCATGTTAGTATGCTTGATGGTGTCCCAAAAATATCTTAGGGGCTGTTCATTGTTTTTTTCTTTATCCTTTTTTCTTTCTGTTCCTCACACTGGATAAACTTTATTGATCTATCTTCAAGTTCACTGATTCTTCTTTTGCCTGCTCAATGTGATTTTTAGCCATCCTTGTGAATTTTTCATTTCAGTTATACTACTTTTCAGCTCCAGAATTTGTTTGGTTCCTTTTTGTAATTTTTCTTTAATGGTATTATCTATTTGTTCAAGAATTGTTCTTTTGGTTTCCTGTAGTTCTTTGAGAATTTTCAAGACAGTCAATAGAAAGTCTTTGTCTAGTAAATCTAATATCTGGGCATCTGCAGGGATGGTCTCTATTAATTTTTTTCTGTGAATGGGCCATGCTTTTTTTTTTCATG